GTGCCCCCGGTCCGAGTCGTTTCCAACCCTCCTAACCCTCCTAACCCTCCTAACCCACCTAACCCTCGGAGCTTCGCAGAAGGAGGTGCGCGCGTCAAGCGTCAAGCGCCTGCGTTCCGGTGGAACGTCGAGCGAGTGGGGATTCGGCCTGCTGCTCTCCTCCGCCACTACTATATCACCTCGGCGCTACTGCTTAAGCGGCCAAACTGCCCGGGCTTCTACGTTTCTCCCATTCCGTTCTCGGCATCGTAGCGCGCAACATTACCAACCACGAGTGCCTGCATACCAGTGCTCACTCGCGACAACCCTCGTTCGTACGCACGAACCACACACGCACCCGCGCACACACAACACACGCACCAAACATCGAGATAGATTGCCATACTGCGCGCGCGTGCGCGTGTCCACATAGGCGCGTGCGCGCACACACGTCACAGACGCGTATATACTCGCGCACACGCACAAGGTACATGCGTTTACGCGTGCGTGACGCAACGCTATCACCGATTATAATAATATATACACACATAATACACACACGCACATCCAGAGAGAGAGAGAGAGAGAGAGAGAGAGAGAGAGAGGAAGAATCACGCGTGCATCGGCAATACAGCAGCAAGCTTCGAGGCTTCGAAGCTTCGAAGCTTGATGTACGCTCTGCCGTAAGATCCGGAGGATTCTCGCTTTCCGACCTCTCGTCCTCCTTTCTTTCTCCGACTCATCAAATTGTGCTTCAGGACTATTTTTATCTCTATATCTCTCTCAGCTTTTTGAAATTCTCATGCTCTGTGAAATATGCGTTATGCTTGGAGCGTCACAACTCACGATCAGCCGTAGTCATAAACAGGTCTAGGAAAGTTGGTTAAGCAGGTGGAGTGGCAGTGAGAGCTAGTGAGGTGCTGATAAAATAGTGAAATAGTGAACAACTGTGACTGGGTGGACGAAGGGAGGATACAATGAAAAGTTTTTTTGCCTGACGAATATCCTTCATCGAAGACGCGCTAATAATATACTACAGTAGCCGGCTTTCTCAACTTATGGGTTGAAACTTGGAAACATTTGTATTATTGCGATTTCGCCAGTTACGTGAAATCCTCCGATTGTGCATTCAACAAATAGTGCAAGAGTTGTATGATTGCAGCAAGTCCGTGACAAAGGTGTGTAGAGTGCGTAGAGTGGGTAGAGTGGGTAGAGTGGTGTGTACAAAGTGCGAAAGTCTACATCAAGGACGTCGCTTACGCACGTGCTTCTCGCTCATTGAATTTTCTCAAACTCTCAAAGTCGACTGATTATAATTTGTCTGTCTTACTATTGGCATTATCTTGGCTATCTTGGTCGTCGCGTCTCTTTTCGTCTATGCAAGTGATCTCCCAAAAAAGTCTACAAGACAGCCCTTACCACGCTCATCGCGTTTCCTTCGATTGCTTCCTTGAAGGTAGACTTATTTTCTTTTTATAAATATATACCTACTACCCCATCTTACTTTATTCTCCGTTATTTGAAACGGACCACGAGATTTACGGGAATCGTACCTTTAAAATGTTTTCATTTGCACAATGTAACAGAAGCAAGGAAACAGCGTGCAATAATGTGTTGTAATCGCGGGAAATGAGAAGCCTCTGTTAAACCTTCCGCAGTACCGAGTAACTGTCCAAGGGCAGAAGTAGTAGTAGCAGTAGTCGTTATTCTCTCGTGCAAGGAAATTCTCTCAAGGGTCTCTCTTTAATCGAAGGACGAGGTTAACTTCAGAACCTATTAGTACACCAAGGGATACTAATAATAAGAAGTACGAAGAGCGTCAAACCTTGGGGGACTTTGGGCATCACGAGTCCATCAAATTTCCCCTATAACACATGGAACGTGCGGAGGTTCTCCCTGCTTCCTACTGGTATCTTCTTCCTCGGTGTCTTTGCTTATGTATGGTTATTTATACATATAGATTAAAGACGTGGCACCTAAATTTTCTATATTGCGAGAGAAGACCACCACCTACATTCGACTGATAAGCTTCTGTCACGGATTGGAAAATCAAGGGAAGGAGCCGGGGGG